TTTGTATTGTACATAAATAATAAAATATTTTTACATATAAAAAATAAACACAATAATTAAAAAAAGATTAAATTAAAATTAAAATTAAATAAATTAAACACAAAGGACAAAAAGAAAGAAAGTACAATATAATTGCTTTTCAATGCGGGGACGGTCGGCAAGTTGCAGTGGCAACGCAGGCAGCAGCAGCGGCAACGCACCCAGCGGCAACGCAGACAGCCCAGCGGCAACGCAGACAGCCCAGCGGCAATATAGGACCGACGGCAACACAAAACGAGCGGCAACGATGATCAATCTGGAGATGCCGTCACCGGAGAAGAACTATTGAAGGTAAAGAGTTTAGTGTACCTTTTTGTTTCTAACTCTGAAGATTTATATGAAAAATTAGGCACCATTTATAATCCTAGAAGAATTTGGTTTCTAAATTTGTTTAAGATTCGGTTTTAAAGTTGTTTAAGATTAAGATCGCAGATCTCACGATCTTAAGATCTTGATCGCGATTTTTGATTTTCTACTAAGATCCTTGATTTTTATACGATTTAGATCGCTGAACCTTGACAACCTTGGCTGAACCTCCTCTTCTGTGTGTTCCCAAACCCGAACCCTTCAACAATTTCGATTATTCATCTCCACAATCCCACAATATTGTGAGTTCTGCAACATTGCCTGTGTTAACTGATACCGGTTGTGGAGTCCTGACTAATTTCAATGGACCTCAAAGCCTGCTCTTTTCTTCACCAGATGTCGGTCATGGTTCCCAATTCGTCCCTACCCATATTTGTACACATCAGCATCCAGCGTGTAAAAAAAGGATATGCTGGCACAGGCTAAACGGAGATCGTGACGGTGATGACGTCAACTGTTAGATAATGATCGATTTGGGTAAATCGATACTTTTGGGGTGTCATTTGTCCCTGCTTTTTTTTGAGGGGTGGATCCGTCCCTACCCATATTTATCAGGGGGTGATTTGAGGGTTCTGCCTTAAAAAAAAGGCTACATTTTTCCAAAGTTCACCATGCATTATTATCAAAGAAAAATGAAAAAACGCATACCTTACCATAATTTAGTAAATCTAATAGTTGCAACTTGCAACATCCCACCTAACCTTTTCCTAGGATTTTATGGATATTATTTAAATGCTAAAGTATTTTTTATTTTTTTACTAGTCAATTATACAACCTAAATGGACTCTCTCACATCTTTTTGTTATCCAAGAATCACCACTACTATATTTAATAAATTTATAAAAACTTAAATTTTTAACTTTAATATGCTTATCAAATAAATTTTTATAATTAGTGAGAACCAACTTTCCATCATTTCTTATTTATCTTATTAAATCTTAAATATGTTCCAAAAAGAATTTTGGGTATCGCACGCATGATAATGAACCCTTGAATTCTTCCAAAACTTCTAACTTGTAACCAACTCATTAAAATTTTGAATTAATTTTATTGGATGCCCAGATGCCCAACCTTTTAAGGTTGTTCAATTAGGTCCCCACCTTTGAAAGGCAAAGTTTTAATTGTCAACAGTTTTATACAGCAAGGCAGCAAATTTGCTGCTACAATGAAGAAACTAGTTATTTTGCCTCAATCCCCCACCGTGTTGCACTAACAATAGGTAGAGGAAGATTTTGGCATGGCAGAACGCAAAATCTTATTTCTAACATCATATTAAATGCTCTAGATAATCAATTATCACAGGCTAATATTGCTGCGTATGAATTCTCTCATTTCCAAGAACCTGCTCATTGAGTTTGTTCTCCGTTTCATGATTCAATTCATATAGAAAGTATGATAAATAATTCTTCACAAACTCCCTAATTTTAAGACTTAAACGTACAACTTCGTTCAACCACCATTTTTGTTATTGTCAATGATGGAGGAAAGAAATATACCAAGTAGAAGAGTATTTTTTCACAACAATGCATAAAGCCATCAATATACCATTCCCCCATCCCACAAGACAGACTAACACGAGAAAAACTAGGCACCAGATGCAATACAACACCTATGCACTTGATAAAATGCAAGAAAGTAAATATTAAAAGATTGTCTAAAAGAATGTCGACTAGTAGGTAAGGAATGATGTGAATTACATTGGTAGTGCTTTCTCTAACACCATTTCACCAAAAACAATTTCAACAAGCTACTCCCGCTCCCTTTTAGGTGGAGCCTTTCTCGATGCCTGTGGACAAATAGGGTGGTTTGGACACATCTATAAGACCAGTCAGGGCCAAAAAGAAGTATATGCACAAAACCAAGGATAAAAACCAATTAAAGTTTGCAAATTACCAGAAACTGTAGGAAATTAACAATAAACCTAGGAAATTTTAAAACAAGTACATCAGAACACCCGCTTCACATTATATATATATATATATATCCTTAAAATACTAAGAAACTTGCTCTGTACAAGGGGAAACACACAACGATACATAGGGAAAAGACTAGTAAAATCTAAAGTCTGAAATTATGAAAATGGACAAAAACAACTATAATAGCCTCAACAGACTCCTCAGGGAAGAAACCAACTTGATCAATCCCAAGGGTTTCCTTGGCACAAAAAGAATGCAGCGGCAATGGGTATTTCCTCACTCCTAAACCGAAGTAAAACAAAGAGATCTGAAATCCTTCATGTACAGATTACATGGGAATTACATGTCACAGTGATCAGTTTACATTACAATGAATCCTAGCTCATCCATAACTCTTCTAGCGAAGCTAACATCATCGATAAAACACAATATATACACAGTAAACTGTATCCACAAAAATTAGCCCCAATATCAATACAAAAATCTTATCACAAGCCAGCTATATTGAAACAAAAACAAAAGAGGCCATTACAAGTTGAGGACCTAATACACAAACTCAACTTTACAAGAAAAGAATATATTATACAAAACAAAGGATGTGTTGGTTATCTTCTGAAGTGTATTACCAACATCAAGTTTGTGATTAATAAACTGAGTCGGCTATATTTTCTTTCCGGGGTTAACGGTTCTCAAAGAAAAATGATATGACAAACTTGAAAGGCCAAAGCAAATATCAGAGTAACTCAATGAAGCCAGCCCATCAAACAAATCTTCTTGCAGGCAATCACATAGGTTGATTCAATCATGAGGACAAAGTGTTGCCACTCCAAACCCTGGATGTGATGATATCAAAAACCCTTGTGTTAATAGACTTCCAAAAAAAAAAAAAAAAAAAACCATAAACAAAAGCCAGAGATAGCATCCCAAAATCTACCCACGTGACCCAGTGTTACTCCACTGTTAGGAAAAGAATTAAAAAGCAGCACGGTAAAGTCCTTAAGGGATTACCTATATCTATCAGACATAATCAATTTGGTTAGATTCAAAGCATGTGGACATAGTCAAAATGAACTAAATACCTATGCAACCTCTAACATGGTGAGATATTGTGTTGAAATAGGCAGTTGCTTTTCAGAGGATGACTTTTAGTAGTTCATTAAGGTATGCCATTATGGTTGACCGGTTCAAAACCTAGAACAGTATAGTGCCACACAACAAAGACAAGAAAACAAAGAGCCAATACAACAGGTGTGGAAACAAAGGATTATTAGTAGGGAAGAGAAACAAAAAGGAACACGGAAAGAATTTTAACAACCATAGAACAAGCTTTAAACTGAGCTTCAGATAGAATTGATGAAAAGCAGAAAGGCAGACTAAATCAATACTGACCAGCTGAATAAATGGTCTAATCCTATTCCACTGTTTTTATAAGATAAACCATACACCTAAAAATTCTTACTAACTAATAACTATTGGATTATGGTCTCTTCAAAGACTTAATGAACTTAAAAGAGATAAGCATTTACTGCAACAGAGATTTATGAGACACATCACATGAAACTTAGATATAACAATAATAGCAAAAACAAAATTATGGAAACAAGAAAAAGAAAGTAAAATCAATTAGAAAGAATGTTACCGCGGAGCATTTTGCTATAACTTAAATAAATAGCTAAACATAAAGTGAAACTGTCAAACTATACTAGAAATGTCTAAATTATACGCTCAAGCAAATTCTTGCACCCACCAACTTTCTCTATCCTCCACCCCATTCCTTTTTCACATTTTTTTTAATTTAAAAAAAGAAAAAGAAAAAAAAAAAGAAGAAAAAAGGAGAAGAAGAAGAAGAAGAAGAAGTAAAAAGAGTCAAAGAAAATAACATGTTATTAAAGCTGTTATTCTACCAAAGTTATGATCACATAAACAATAAATATCTAAATCAAAAGATCACAAACAAAAGATTTCTAAAGCTCACTATCACAAACAAACAGAGCATTGCCTTGCCTCAAAGATAAATTTGGTCTGATAGTTAATAGTTCAACAAGGATATTCAACTGTATGATGTTAGAATTCCAACTCACAAAGAATGTCCACTTCGACAACATATAATGTTTTTCAACACATAAATGGTAAGTACCACAAGCAATGTAAAAGGAATGGGAAGTACACTCTTCCCCACTATGCAACACAAGTAGAACTTACTTCTTTACTTGGGAAGCAACAATCCGCATCCAGATCCATGGGCATCACAGAGAATGATAATAGACGGGTATAGCAACTGGAGGGAGAGAAACTAACTGTGAAAATGAATGTGAGATCTCATAAGAGCCAATAAAGAACAAACTACCTCATGCTATCACTCTGATGGCAGATGTCTCCTTTTTCCATAATCAACATCCCTTGATCGTGGCCTGTGCTCTTCTTCTGCACAGGATCTTCTCTGAGATCTTGAAGAAGACTGTCCTCTATCCCAGTCATCCTCATAATCCAAGTCACGGTCTCTTTGGCAATGCTCTTGGTAGCCATCTTTTTCTTCCCTGTATTGATGCTCTCTCTGCTCCTTCTCAGACCAGTCCCAATCTCGATCCCTCTGATTAAGATGCCTCCTCTCGGTGTTCTTAGACTACTCATGCTCAGAAGCCCAATCTTTCTCATGTGAGGCAGCACTTGACCTTCCCTTTTCTTAGTTTGCTTCCCCATACCCGTGTTCAGAAGCACCATCTTCACCACCATAACTAGATTCCTTTGTCCAGTGACCATATTCATCTCCTCCCTAACCACCCATACTCGTATCACTCTACATGCCCCTATGAGGTCCATCCATTCCAGAGGAGCCCATCATTCCTATCCCATTAAGTGCCACTCCCTGGCCAAAGAAAGTAGGATTGACATGAGGAGCTACCCCAGCAAGCCCCATTGTGTTAACAGCTGGAAATGAAGGGAGCATGCTAGGAAAACCAGGATCCAGAAAAGCTCCATAACCACCTCCACGACCCAGATATAAAGGGTCAAATCCAGCTCCCATCATGCCACCAGGAGGACCCCCAAACATAGGATCTGCTGGCCCTTGTCCATAACCCCCCATACCACTAGCACCATTTCCAACTCTAGCAGAGCCCCCAACCATGTTCTTTGCACCAAAAACTCCCTTCCCCGTCCTCCAGCCCCAGGTCTATTAAGTAGGCCCCCTTGCCCACCCTGTCCCCAACTACCCTTCCATAATTTCTCCCTACATCTCCACTTTGACTATTAAGATTGCCATCTCTCCCTAGACCATCATTTAGCCTCCTTCCCTGTGATTGAGATTGAGCTTGGCCCTCAGTTTTATTCATGTAAGCAGCCCCCATCTGCATCAGAGTTTGTGGAGAAACAAAGGCCACAACACAAGCCCACTCATTGAAAACATGACCAGTCATTCCCTCTTTGCATGCAGCTGCAACAGCTGGATCATAGAACTCAACTTGGCAATAGCCTTTGGCTTGACCATTAGCTCTCTCGTCAAAGAACTTAATTTCCTTCACCCTTTCATATTGAGAACATGCACTTCCAATCTTTGCATCTGTTGTCCACCAATATAATTCTCCCACAAACAGCGTGGTTGAACCATTTTCAATTGGTGGCCTAATTTGATTTTCATGCACCATAAAAGGATTGGCATTCATTTCTATTTGATTGGCCAGAATTTGTGAAACACCTTGAGGTCCAGAAATACCAGAATTTAGTGATTGAGCAACTTCATTAGCACTTTTTTTGGGTAGACCAGAAGGATCAACACCAATCTTGGGTGACGCTGAAGTTATTCCATGAAAATCAATGTTTTTCACTGGCATATCATGGGTCATCTCCATGGCACTCCCCTTTTGTGAAATTGAAGACCCAGGTGGGTAAATGGAAGATACTGTTTCTGGTCTGTTATTAGCTGGTTGCCCACATTCTGCTCAGGAAAAGAAGCATCAACATTAGCACACTTGCCTTAAATTGAAGCACCTAGAAAATTTTGGTTTTTTGAGCCCCCAGGTTCAAATCGCTGTTCAAGATCATCACTCTTCTGAGCTCCAACACTATTATTGGTCATACCACCAGGTTGTGTTGGCATTTCAGAATGTTGCATCTGTAGAAGACCTTCTCCAACATTAACATCATTGTAGAGCTCATCATATTCATCATCATCCCCTATCTGACTCTACATCTGCAAGTGCAGGTATGGCTCCACTTCCCAGAAACTGCACCTTCCGTGACCCTCCATATTCATCTCTCCAAAGTCTATACGATCCTCAGCAGGATCCATTTCAGCTTTCTAGTGATCACCAAAACCGAACAAATTATTCCATCTCCTACATCAAACAAAGCCCTTCAATTTTTATCCTTGTATTCTTTAATCATAAAGTTGGGCCCATAAAAACATTCTACCGAAGAGATAAACAATAAATACAATTTGGTGGTGAAATCCAATGTTTAATAAAGGCTAAGAACCATTTTACAGGCATTACTATGCAAAATTTTTTTAAGCATGTTAAAAACAGAAAATTCAAAGAAAAAAAAAAAAGCAAATTGGGAGGATAGACCTGGCAGCTCTAAAAAAATACAAATTAAGTACATCCAACAAACAACATAACTAGACAAAGAAAAAATGATATAAAAGAGAAATTCATATGCTATCAACAGAGCTCAATCATGGGAATCAGAAAACATCGGTATGCCCATGTCTTAATATCCCAATGCCAGGTAAATCTGAAGTACCCACTTCATTAAATCATAAAAATAATAATTAAAAAATGGAGATTTCTTACATATACAATATCCAATTCATAAACGAAAGGAATCTCACAAAGAAAATGCTTGAGAAGAGAACTATCCATTAAATTGCAGAAAGAGAGAAATTTTCTTATACCCATTTCGCAAATTCAAATGAAAAGAAAAATGGAGACGAATTGCAGAATCCCAAGTACAACTAAAATCATTAAATGGACGAAATTAAGGAACACCCACCAATAATTAACCTCGGAACATTGGTTCTGAGGCACAGGAATACAAGACATAGCAAAATATTATCGTTTACGTTTATGTTATTCTTCTGCGATATCTTGCGTCTAGCCTTCGGGCTCCAGCTTACCTAGGGTTAGACATGGCGTAAGGTTGGGTCACAGGTCTGCCATTTTTTCTCTGAAAATTCTTCCCTTTTTTTTTCTTTTTTTCTTTTTTTCTCTTATTTTTATTTTATGAAAACCTATTATACAATTTAATCTATATTAAATTATAAAATAAAAATTATTAAATAAAAATCTTAATATTAAAAAATTTAATTTCTATCTAATAACTAATATTGTATAATTTTATATAATTTAAACTATATAATATTATTTTTATTTATTTTTAAAAAAATTATTATATAATTTAAATTATATTAAATTATTAAAAAAATCATTATTTTTCACATATAATACTTTGTCTTATTATTTATAAGTATCTAGAAAAATATTTTCTGATAATCTAAAAAATATGCTTATAAATTATTCAACGTAGACTGTACATTATAGTAGCAAATTCTCATTTAGGTACAGTTTTTTCTGGTCAAATTTGTATTATTAGAGATCTTTTCAAAAAAAAAATTAGAGATTAAAAAAAATATGTTATAGATGGTGGTTAATATAAGCCATTAATTTCCATTCAAAGTTTTTTTAGAAATTAAAAACCCATGAAAGACAATAAACTTTCTACTAACAAAAGTTAAAAAAAAGATTTCATCTAATTTATTGATAAAAATGTGCAGTTTTCAGAGATAGATTCAAATTCCCCGTCTCACAATATCAAAAACTGGGAAAAGAAAGAAAGTTTAATTAGCACACCAATACCTTTGTGAATGTTAAAAGGATCAGTGGTAGTTCTTTTGGTAGGGTATCAATAGATTCAATACTCCAAATGGTAGTTAATAGAGGAAACATTAATTGTTTGGTTGTGATGGTTAACATCCTTTCGTAGGTTTTTCAATGTCAATTCCAATAGTCTGGCCATGAAGCTGAAACACAGAATTTGTGTTTCATTCCTTGTCAATTTTTTTTCTTTTCGATGATAGACTAAAAGGGAAAGGTGAAAATAAAAATGATTGGATAATCACACTTTTAATTAATCAATAATGTCAAAAAAAAAGTCACAAAAAGTCCTACTATTTTATGCTATCCTTAGAATTAGAGGATTATTCTTGTCAACTTAACTTCACAACTTTAAATTCCGTTACTCTGTAATTTAAATTATAATGAATTATAAAATATCAATCATTAGATGAAATAGTCAATTTTAATTCAATGGTTATTATTTTGTAATTTATTATAATTTGAATTGTAAAATACATTTTTTAGTATATTTTTCATTTTTAAATAAAAAATAATTGAGAAACTATTTTTTTATAAAACTTTTCAATATAAATTTATATGTTAGTTAATAATTAACTTTTTTCACTTTATTAAGACTAATAAAATCGTATACATTTTTTTAATTAATATCATATTAGAGTTACAAATAAAAATTATACAAAGAGATTACTTTCATATCATTATTCTTTTCAAATTTGTTATAGTTGCATGAGTCTAATGGACATAAGACACTTGAACATAAAACCTCTATATATTCATTCATTAGTTAATGAAGTATTTAAAATTAAATTCAAACAGAATAGTTCTCTCAAAAATTGGCCACCTTCAAAATTTACTTCGAAATTGAAAATTTCTGTGAATCCGAAAAGATACCAAGAAGCAATAATAATGTTTGTTTAAGAAATTGTTGAACAATGATCATTATTACACAAGATTCATACAAATTACAAATGACACAAAAATTCTAGCTCAAATTGGCACTACAATTTCATCTTCCTAACTGAATGAACAACTGCTTTGAATCCCCCAACCATCCCCAGCTCCCAAGGGGAAAAAAACCCTAGTTGTGAAACAAAAAACTACCAATATTCTAACCAAGCCGAACACTAAAAATGCAATTCAGCTCAGCTGTCTTTTCTTTTTCCTCGTCTGTCGCAACTCTCATCTAATCCTCAACTGTTGGTACGGTCTGCTGAGAACAAATTTGGCTGCATCATTTTGGCAGTGCTATGAGGACCTGTAGCTCTGATTAAGAATGATACAATAAACAGACTTCTAGAGCCTTACAGAATAGAGAGTGACCATCTATATTTTACATCACCTCTGCCAAGTGCCAACCAACACAGATGAAGAGAGATGGAATCAGAGAAGTTGGCATCATGAAGGTGGAGAAAAGAAGGCATCTATGGAATGTTGTTATCAGGGATCTCTTCCTCTATAATCTGCTGGAAATGGATCATTGTCTCAATACATCCCCTTGAAAACAGGATTTGTGCGGCATATGCTTGCTCCATATTCCTCGTACTCTTCCTTTGTGTGGCAAGCCTGCACATGGAGGAGACTTTGAGCCAATGCATAAACAGTAGGGGACCAAGATAACACAAATGACAAATATAAGTAACAATAACAATAATAATAATAAAATCAACCTCAAAGATACAATAGCAGTTATAATACAAAATTCAATCAGAATCAGCTGTTCGTATAGCCTTGGAACAACATCTCTTCCAGTTACAAGAAAGCAAACTCCATTTAGCATGTAATACAGTTCACTAAACATATAAAGAACTTAATAACAAAAACAGAGACATCTGTAATGGATTTGAAATACATAGGAGTCTAGAAGATATAATAGTTACTCAGACTGCACATCTTGAGAATAATGGGACATCTAAAATGGGACAAAGAAAGCCAATGCAACAGTCATATTATGGACATACGGTTTCAATTGGAAGCAGAGATTCATACCGCAAAAAATTCAGGTGTTGATGCAAGTACAGAACCTCCAAACCAAACTGCAAATCTCTGGATAGGATGACTAAGTACATTAACTTCCACAGGTTGTGCCTGGACACCCAACACCCAAAAAGGAGGGAAAAGATTAGCTTTTTCATAATGTTAATCAATAAAAACACAAGTTAAAGATGAATTCTCACCTTTACTTCCCCACCAAGTAGGGCATCAGATGTAACAGAACGTGCATCTACAATCTTCTTCAGATCTCGTTGCAACCTTCTGTGGAAGTCTTTGAACATAGTTGATCCACCAGATAATACTATGTTCTAAATAAAAGACAAATTGATAAGTAGAAGCAGAAAGTTTTTATCAAATAACAATACAATAACAAGCATGTGAAAATTTCTCTCACTCTTTTTCCCTTAAGCAATCTCAGAGGCAATACAAGATTAAATCATCAGTTCCAACAATTGACAGCAGGCTTTGTTTTCTTTTTGGTTTACCAACACTTTTAAAACTTCAGTTATAAAAGTTCTACAGAGAAAGCACATACAAGTACAACTTTCCAAGATTTGCAAAAGATCAGGGTCCCAAAAAACCAATTCAATAGAGATACTTGATAACCAGTCCAAGTGTCCCACAAAAATCAAGCAAAGTACATGATAAGCAGATTGTGCTTATCGGGACACCTTATTCTTAACCCTTTGATGAAAAACTTTCTCATCATTAGCATATATCCCATCTAAGAACCAAAAATTTGAATTCTAGTTTTCTTTTTCAGATCATAGATAATTTACCTTGTACAAAGCTCTTCTTGTGTCAATTGGGGCTGACTGAATACATTTGTCTATTACAGCTGGTAAAGGAGTGGTAAAATCACTGCTATAGATCTCAGGATTGAAGAAAACCTGTTAAACAAACTATTAGAACAGCATCCAGAAACAAAGAAACCACCATCCATTACAATTCTTTCTATCAATCTTCTATAAAATGGAAATTTTGAAACACTCTTCTTAAATAACTAATTTATGTCACCCATGAAGATCTCGAATTCAAATCTTGGGACGGGTAAGGACGGATTAAGGGAAGGGGAGGACTATCTCTTGTTGTATAGCCCATGTTCTCACGTCACCCATGGAAAAAATTGTCAAAGCATAATAAAATATCATTATCACTAAACATCAAGCAAAACTTACCCTGGCCCTAGATACCTATTCTTTTGTTCTCTCAATGGAAAAGTTGACCATAATTATTCAAGAAGAGCAACTAATATTTCATGAGGGAACATAAGCAGGAGTGGAGCTAAGTACAAAGTCAGAAGGGAGTATTAAAATTTCCCTCATATTAAAAGGACTTTTGAGAAAAGGAGGTCAAATTAAGGGCAAGAGGGAATACAAGTTTGTTCAACTTGGACTTAACATGAATGATTGCTCCAAGGCAACAAAAGTGAACAGAACCGCTTAGTTTGCAAAAAAGAACAGGATCACCTAACAAGGCCTTACAAGTTACAACAAGAGCTGGATGGCCAGGAAACTGAGAAACAATGTCTTTATTTTCTTTTTTATTTGGGTGCGTAATGCATTCAGCTTTGAAAAAATTTCCGAAGTAACTTACTATTACTAATCCTAGAAAGAGTTTACAAAGAAAGGATAGAACAAACCTCAGGGCCTAAAAATCGTTCATAACCAATATCACAAGAGTATGGTGCCCCTGTCTTTGGTTTAATACCTCTCCATTGCTTGATGTACTTTGATGGTTCTTTGTCATGCTTGTTGTACTCCTGAGGAAGTAAAGGAAATGTGAGTTTACACTGAATCAAAATTTAAGAGCAATAAAATGAGAAAAATCAGAATCCTAATTCTTCAGCACATAACCATGTAGATAATAATTATGATGGATATTGTTCATGCACTTTTTTTTTTTTCAAACATGGGACTTCATGGGAAGCAAAAATTACCTTGACAATATCAGAACAAGTATAGCAGTACATCTCTTTCACTCTCCGAGCTACGTCAAATGAGTCCTCTGGTGGTATGTTCTCACCTCTTTCCTACGGAAAGCAATGTCAAAAGGTAAAACACTGTGATTACTTGAATGCTACTTTATCAGTAAATCCAAGTTATACAAATGGAGCCATCACAATCTCCAAAGTCAACTTGATAACTTCTTTAAGTCCAGTGTTTGTGAGTAGGTTCTAACCAAATCAGCAGTGGCACAGCACAGTGAAAGGATAAATCAAGTTAACAAAGCAGGAAGGAAAATCAAAGGCAGTTGAATTGTTTGAGATAATCTCCTGAATTATCAAAAACAAACTAGAAAAGAGAACTCATAAATGTGAACTGCAAAAAGAATCTAACACTAGCTCCAACAAAAATAGACAGAATGCTTAGAATTTTCGAAACCTGAGGTACAACATCAATATTTCAGTGCCAAATAGTAGTGGGACATAATCTTTCAAATACAATTAAGGTCAAAGATGAAATGAGGCTTAAAAAGTTTCCTCCAAGACACTATCCAAGGCAATTATCAAGTGTCTCCTTCACTCAGGTTTATTTAGATTAGCAAGAACAGTGCAAATGAAAGATACTTTCAAGAAGATTGCCTATCATCAATGAAGGCCAGTACCTAGAAATGATTATTATGATCAAGGAACGGATTTTTTTTTTTTTTTTAAATTTCTGCTAAATAAAAAACTTGTGAGTGGCTACCATACAAAAAAGCTATCAAAACCATCATTGATTCAAGTACACTGGTATATAAAGGTGCCTAGACCATAGATGCAGCATCAAAACATAACCATAGCTTATTTGTACAATTCACCAACCACGAGCTTTTAAATAGAAGAATTGCATCCCATCAAAAGAAAAATGAACAAAGCACAAGCTGATAAAACTTATGGTCAATGTGCATAACATAAAGAAGTACCCGCATGAGCTGTTGGATAAAGAGAGTAACATCTTTCCCAGCAATTGGAATTGACTTAATGCTGCTCCCAATAACATAACCATCTGCAACAGGTACGACATGAGTAGCCCCATCTCCAACATCCACCACTACCCCTGTCATCTCACACTTAAGGAAAACTTGAGGTCAATCTAAAAGGATATGATAAATAGACACTGAAGACTGAAAAGACAAAATGCTAAGAAGAGGAATAAGGGAAATTGAAAGAAAGACTAATTCTTGCAACTCTGCAAACATGAAGACTCCAATATATGCATGTATGCAGTGTGTTTGTGTGCTTAAGTCATCAATGATTAGATGCATTTCTCAAACCTTACAGATCTTCACTAATTCAAAGAATATCTTAAACCTTTGAAGCAAAAAATTGAAAATTATAGATGACAGGCATCATTTGCATTAATCTGTAAATGTTTCACATATACAACTGTGAGATTGAATGAAAAGTTAAACATCCTACATTAAGGGGGGAAAAATGAGGAGGTTGGAAAAGAATAGGTCATGCTTGAGCAAATGGCCCTTGTCAAGGTCTCTAACTGTGAAGATTCTATTCCTTAATAACTATATTTGAGCATTCTCTAATTCCATCTTTGCAATAATTTCAGTTTCAATGCTCCAGTAAATTATTATTCTATATTGGAAGATGACTAATAAAAACAAAGTTCTATGAATCACAAATCCCTTCTGAAAAAATGAAACATCCAGAGAACGATCCTCAATGACTCAACTCCAACAAATACCACACAAGGCCTGTCTAAAAGCAAATCTAAAGAACAAAACCATTCACAAGCAACAGAAAGACATCATGCATTTAACCTCAAAATGAAATTAGAGAATACAATGCTTGAAATCAATTCTTACCTTAGATGTTGTGTACCCAGCTGCCAGAGCAAGCACTGAATTCACTGCAATATATAGCCCAGGAACATTAAATGTCTCAAACATAATTTCACCTGTATACTCTCGACTCTCAGGAGCAGTAAGTGGGCTTTCAGTCAATAGAAAGTAATGATCTTCTGGATCACACCGCAAATAGTTGAATATACACTGCTGCCAGTACCGCTCCATGGCATCCCAATTATCCACTTGACCATGCTTAATTGGATAGCTAAGATTATAGGTGTTACTAGATCGTGATCTTGAAATCGCTTCATCCCCAATGAAGAAATCAAGATCCGCCATAACCCCAGCACTATACTGAGTAAGCCAATTTGCCTTAGAAGAAGTTCTAGACTGATTCAAAAAAGACTCATTTACTGCAACTACTGTCGGAAGAATAAAACACGGCTCTACATTACCCGCAAAACCCATCTTAGTATACCTATCAAACAAGTAGAAACCAAAACATTTAGGCCCAGTCGAGGCATTCTATCAATAAACAAAGCAAACATGTTCTTGATCAGTTTCATACAGATTGGCAACCACAGAAATTAGAAACATAGCCATAAAACTAACTGCGACAATTCATCAAACAGGTTGTGGGGGTACACCCATGTATTAACATCACGCAATTGAACGCGAGAAAACGTACCCAGTGCCATTGTCGATGACGACGGCCGGACGAGAAGTGGGGTCCATGAGAAATAGAAAACAAGATGCGATGATAACTATCGTGGCGATTGCTATTACGGCGACGGTGGTGGATCTGCGACCGAGATCCAAGAGAGACTCGAAAGCAAGGGATCATGGTCGTGAGGGGCGCTTAGAGAAGCGCAAATATGGGGAATAGCACATCAGTACAGGCACAACAGAAAACTTGGATCCCAAGCGAAAGCGTCCACTCAACGGTAGCTGGTCGGCGGTGGGAAAGAAGAAGAAGAAGAAGAATAAATCCAAACCCATTTCAACATCGAGCACGCCAAGGTCGCATCATCAACTTCTTCATCATCATCATCATCATCATCACTCCCTTTCCCTTTCCTTCGATGCTTTTCTTAGGAATCAAACCACGCAGCACTAACCTCTTTTCTTTCTCCCTCGCCTCTCCCACTTCCCCTTTTCTCCCCCTTTCTCTTTTCCGCTACGCTTCGGTCAATGTTGACTAGTACAGTTGGTCGTTTTAAGCCGTCCGATTGATTACGTTATATCACGTGGCGGTTGCTTGATTGGGGAAATTCACGAGGATTACCAGCCCCACGTTGTCTTTTAAGGATTTAAAATAGACGGTAACATGAAGTCGCGGTTGCAGCTGATGATTTCTCTACAAAATTTTTTTGAAAGCGAATGCGTATTCGGACGGTCCTTTGAGTGGATGAGAGACGTTTGGTTGCTCAGAAATAATTGCGATGTGCGGTAGAGATTTTCAGGTGGGTGACTGGTATTTATGTACAAAAAAAATGTAAAGTAGAATCTATTTCACTTA